GTGGGCAGGGGGGAGAGGGCGGGGGTGGGGTCCCTCACTTCCGCGATGGTGGACATGGACATACTTGACTTTAGGTGACAATGAGTTTGATCAAGGTCTTGATCGGTGTCTCCTCGCCCCCAATCGCCTCCCTTCCCCCCATCATCACCAGCTCCTCCCCTGCCCCCTGCTCCGCCACATCTCCGCCACATACTCCTCCAAATCAAAACCCTTTCCTTCCTCCTCCCCCACCTCGATCACATCCATCTCCATCCCCCTCTCTCCCTCGCTCACCTCCCTCCCGACCCCTCGATCCCTTGATCCCTTGATCCCTCGATCCCTCGATCCCTCGACCCCCTCCCCTCCCCTCGACTTCCCCTGATCCCCTCCACTCCCCCGATCCCGGTGTGTCGCCTGCCAAGTCGATCCAAAGCCAATCCATCCAACTTTCCCTCTCCGGCCTGCATCCATCGGCATCCCACACCCACCTCGACGGATCATGTCTGCTGACGAACAGAGTAGAGGATGTGGCGGTGATGAGTGCGAAGAGGTTGCGGTGGTTGTGGTGGGCGGTGGACCCACAGCGCTCTCTGTGGTGGCAAGAATCATCGAGCCGTACCCGGACCACCTCACCGAGCGGGACCACAACACGCTGCTGACGGCGGTGAGGAAGACGGGCAAGCAGAGGCCCGGACAGAAGCGAAAGGACGACGTGCCGCCGGTGGAGAGCCTTTTGCCGCATGTGGCCGTCATCGATGCCTCCGATGACAAGTGGATGACGAGGTGGAACAGGTACTTTGAGGCCTTCCGCATTCCCATGCTTCGCTCGCCTGTCTTTCATCATCCTGATCCTCGCGATGGCCTCGCCCTGCGGACGTACGCCAAGAGTTGCGGCCGCGATGCCGAGCTCACACCCATCGACTCGTTTTTTGACAACAAGCGGGCGTACAAGGTCAAGTCACGCCGGGGTCAGACCCAGCAGTGGAACAACGAGGTCCATCGCCAGAACTTCCTCCTCCCATCGTCGCGCCTCTTCTCCTCCTTCTGCTCCTCGGTCGTCGACTCGTACGGCATCGGCGATTTGGTCCGCCACGCCACCGTTGTCGACGTCCGCCCCATTGTGGACGATGCCACCGGTGCCGTCGTCAAGTACGCCGTCGACATGGCGCCGGCTGGCGGCGACTGCGACGAGGTCAAGACCATCATCACCACCGCGCTCGTCCTCGCTATCGGCCTCACCAATCACCTGTCCATTCCCGAGTTTGTGGCGAGCCTACAGCCGGGCGCGTACCCGGCCGGCCGGATCCAGCACGCTTACGAGGTCCACTTTGACGCTCTCCCGGACGATGGATCCGGGAGCCAGGCTCCGTTGCGGGCAGGCGGGCGGCGGCTGGTCTTTGAGCGAGCGAGCAACGTGTTGATTGTCGGCGGCGGGCTGACTGGCGCTCACATCGCTAACCTCGCACTGGCGTCGGGCGTCAAGCACGTCACGCTTGTCACTCGCTCGTTCATTCTCACTCGCCAGTTTGACGTGCCCATCGACTGGGTTGGCACCTTTAAGGCCGCCAACATGGCTGCGCTGCTCACGCTCAGCCCCGACGAGCGGCTCGACGAGATTCACAGCGTCCGTGCGGGCGGCTCCATCCCGCCACGCTATGTCGCCGCACTCAAGGCTGCCACCGCCGAGGAGCGCCTGACGCTGGTAGAGAACGCCACTGTGGCGTCGCTGGCTTACGACGCCGACGCCGACGCCTTTGCCGGCACTCTGGAGCCGAGCAAGGCCGACCGTGAGCCGAGCTACGGCGAGTCTGGCCCGGTCTTTGATGACATCCACTCGGTCATCCTCGCCACCGGCGCCGACGAGGACATCGGTGCCGAGCCGTTCCTCGCCTCGCTCCTGGCCTCACCGGCCCTCGACCTGCCGATCGAGCGCGGCTTCCCTGTCCTCTCGCCGGAGCTCCAGTGGGGCAGAGATACAAACGTGTTTGTGTGTGGCGGCTACGCTGCGCTCGAGCTCGGTCCGTGGTCGCACAACCTCTCGGGCTCCCGCTCGTCGTCCAAGCGCGTTGCGCCCGCCCTCCGCCGTCTTTTGCACACCACCATTGCTCCGCCCGTTGCAGACGCGGACGGCGGCGCTTACAGCGATGAAGACTCTGACTCGTCGTCGTCATCGTCGTCCGACGCCTTTGTGGCCTCGAACCCGTACGCCCTGCTCGATCTCGAGTAAAACGACCTCTCGATCATCCCTCCCGAGACGGCGGTGGCGGCGGGGCTCGCTTACCTTTCCACGCCTCGATCTCCAGCGACTTGTTCCACCCGTCTTCGAGCGACATAGTAAAGCGATCGATGTTGACCAGGTGGTAGAGGACGTGAGGAACGGGCTCGAAGAGATATGTCTCGGCCTGGTTGGCCTCGAACCGGCGGATGGTAGTTCCAATGTCACGGAGCTTGAGAAAGTTGATGAGGCCGTCGGCGGTGGTGTCCTTGTTGGACATGTCGATGGTGACGAACCACTTTTTGTACGCCGCCATGAGGGCAACCATCGGCAGCTCCGCGTCGGCTTCCATCTCCTTCTTGTAGTGTACAAAGCCGTTTTGCAAAAAGTCGGCCTTGAGCTGCTCGACACGCGCCTTGACGCTCGGCTTGACCTTGGCCCACACAGTGCGGAGCCGGTTGTCAGCCACGGTGTTGTCGTGGAGGCCTGAAATGATCCAGCAGCTCGTGTTGAAGTTGCGGAGGAGGAGGCAGGCGTCGGCAACGGCGGCAAAGTGCTCGATGAGCTTGGCCCGCTCCGAGTTGCTGCTCCCGTTGAGGATCGATGCCCAGACCCAGTCGGCCCACGCAAACGAGCGGTCCATCCACGCCGCCAGATTGGGAGATGGCCCATACAGCTCGCGGACTGCCATGTCTGGGCCGAGCCAGAGGCACTCGGTCGGCTTGACTGACCGGTAGTACGCGTGGTCGACGAGCGTGATCTGCTGCGCGAGAACCTCAGGCGAGATCTTGAGCACGTTGAAGCTTGCCGGATCGCGAACCTCGCGCGGCAAGCCGCTCACCGCGCTTCGCACGTCGTCGAGTGGCGCGTCCTTGAGTCCAGAAGAGGCCTCTGCGGCGACGACGGCGCGCGAGACCCGGAACAGTGCGTCGAGCATGTGCGGCTCGGTCGTATCGGCCGCTGCATCATCTACAAAAGCCATCAGCGTGTGGTACAGGCCCGGCGTGTACCAAAAGTCCTCCACGTCCTGCTCGACCCACGTCTCCATCACCGCCACAATGCGCTCGCGGGTGACTCGGACGCCACGGAGAAAGAGCTTGCGCGCCATGGGATCGAGCGAGTCGGGAATGTCGGGAAAGTAGAACTCGATGAGCGTCTCGAGCAGCTCGGTTGGCGTCATAAAGTACTCATACGTGAGTACAAAGGTCTCCACAAAGTCCTTGTCAGCAAACTCTGGATCCAGCTCCAGATCAAGCAACACGTCGAGGAGCCTGCCGCGGGTCGACGCGCCGATGAGTCGCTTGCCCTCGACCGAGTCAAAGACAACCGACGGATTCCCGCCACGTGCTGACTTGAGCGACGACTCATGACGAAAGACCGAACCCAGCCTCTGGACTCTTGCCACACTCCCATCGCCCTTGCCCGACGACAGTGTCCGCAGCCTCTGCTGGACCACCGATCCGCGTCTCCCCGAGTTCCGACCAGTGGCCAGCCCAGCCCCACCTGCCGGCGGAGGAGTCTTCCGCTGTTGCTTGCTCGCCTTTCTCCGCCTCTGCTCTGCCATCGATGTCCTCAGTCTCGCCGCCTTGGCTTCTCCCCTCTCCCCCCCATCGCCACCGCCAGCGCCTGCCCAACCACCCGCCACAGGCAACGACTTGGCCTCTGCTGCCTGCTCTGCCTGTGGCTCTTCTGGTCTTCTGCGCATGTGAGACGGAAGTGCAGCCATATGTGTATGTGTGTATGTGTAGGTGTGTGGGGGTAGGGGTAGGGTGGGGGTGGGGGTAGGGGTAGGGTGGGGGTGGGTGGGGTGAGGTGGCTGTGGCAGTGTGGCTGTGGCAGTGTGGGGGGGTCTCTGGCGGTGGCGGTGGTTCGTTGGTTGGGCGCATTGGTCAGGCGTGGATGATGGCGCATCGGTTAGGAATGGATGAGATGGGCATGGGGGAAGGTGTGGAGAGGGGAGGGGAGGGGGTATGGTTTGATCATCCCCATCCTCCCTTCCCCCATCCCGATCCCGATCCCGATCCCCCTCCATGCCCCTCCATCCCCATCCTCATCCCCCCATCCCCATCCCCCCTATCCCTATCCCTCCCCCTATCCCCTCCCCAATCCCCATCCCCCCCCCCCCCCCCCCCCCCCCCCCCCTGGCATTCCTTCCATTCCACTCCACCCGGTGGCACACCACTCTCTGCGACAGCAGGCCGATATGGGGCGACGCAAGGGGAACAAGGGAGCCAAGGGGAACAAGGGAGCCAAGGGGAACAAGGGAGGCAAGAGTGGCAAGGGAGGCAAGAGTGGCAAGGGAAAGGAGGAGGCTGGGGAGGACGTGGTGGCCAATCGCCGTCAGGTCAAGGCAGCCGAGCGTAAGGCTCGCAATGCCGCCCGGAAGGCCCGTGATCGGGCAAAGTGGGCGCGTGATGAGAATGTGTACTCGGCCAACTTTGTCAAGTTTCAGAAGCAAATGGAGAGCCTAGCGCTCATCATCAAGGATGTGGCCTCGGATGGAAACTGTCTCTTCCGCGCTGCTGCAGATCAGCTGTATGGCGAGGTGACGAGCCACGCAGAGATCCGTGCTGCCGTCATGGACCATGTCGCCGCAAACAAGGATCTGTACCAATGGTTTGTCGAGGATGACGAGCCCTTTGATGACTATGTCGCCTACATGCGTGAGTCGCGTTCTTGGGGTGGCCAGATCGAGATCCAAGCCCTCTCCATGGTTTACTCGGTCAACATCATCATCCACCGCCTCAACGAGCCGCGTTGGTCCATCATCAACTTTCCGGAAGACACTCGTACCCTGCACCTCTCCTACCATGACCAGCAGCACTACGCTTCGGTCCGTCCGCTTGCTGGCCCGCTCACCGGTCCCTTTGATCCCATTCCTGCCGCCGGCCTCGTCTCGGGCGCGCCCAAGGTCCCGGCTGCTAAGCCACGCGATCCTGGCGCGCCCACTGACGAAGAGCTTGTCGTCATGCAGGCGACTGACATGTCAGGTCCCGACGCGCTCTGTATTGTCCGGGACACCCTGCACGACTTTATGGGCAACGTCGACGCCGCCATCGAGTACCTCTGTGTCGTCAAGTACCAGAGCCCACCCACGATTGATGCGGCGGCGGCGGCGGCGGCGGCGGCCTCCGCCTCCGCCTCGACCCCCGCTGTGGCTGCCGCATTGTCAATGCCTGCGACTGACGCAGCGTGCGATGCGGCCGATGGTCCCGCCGAGCCGACAGTCAAGCCCAAGCGCATGACCAAGCGTGACAAGAAGCGGCTGAAGCGGGAGCAGAAGCGGCTGAAGCGGCGTGATGCGGCCGTTGCCGATCAGGCGGCCGCGGCTGCCGAGCGGGCGGCAGCCGCGCCTGATGCAAACGTTCTCGATTTTGGCGACATCGGTGTTTAAGTCCATCGCGCAAGCCGCGCGCTCCGCGACGCTCCACAGACGTCGCAGCGTCCATGGATTGTTGTAAAAGAGTAGTACAATGTGTTCATGGTTGCCACAACAGAAAACAGTCGGCGATGCAGGATGGACGCCGCACGCGGCACAAAAGGTCCGCGGCCGCGATCGCTTACCATGAAGCTTCCGGCAGGCGAGGCAGTCGCATCGCAGAGCGGCTTGTTGGGGAATGTGGTGATGACAAGCAGCCGGTGCAGAGGGACGCTCCCGCTTGCGCGACGGTGCGTAGCTGACGGTGTCGGCGCCGGCGGCGAGGGCGTCGATGAGGCGTAAGGAAAGCCACGCGAGCTATGGCGGGGTGTGGGATCGTGCCAGCGTAGAGCGCGTACGCGTTGATGAGCACGGCGCCCAGAATCCAGTACAAGATGGCGTGCCACCACCACTTGCGCGGCCACGCCGACCGGCAAGCTCGTCCGCCGCAAGAAGATCCACACCGTCCTCCGCTCTCCTGTCCCGGCCGCTGTGTTCAACTCTGCCATGCTCTCCTTCCAAGTCGTCGGGGTCGTCAACTACAAGCTCCGCACCGTCCGCGCCCGCCGCTTTCCGGATCGGGGCCGTTCGGCACCTCGCGCGCATCGCCCATGCTTCCAGGCGCCCGTCACTGGGACGGCAAATCGTCAGGCGGGCATCTACGTGTCGGCCGCCATCACGTGCGGGCGCGCCTCCCACCTCAAGCCGCAGGCCAAGCAAGCGTCGCGCAGCGTCGGCCGGTGACTGGGAAGTCAAGCATCATCGAGTTGTTCACTTTGAGACGCGCGACAACGCGTCCGAACGACCGTACCGCTAAGGGTTAACCCATCATGTGGTCCGGCAGCGCCGGGGCGAGCATCTCCAGTGGCGGCAGGATGCGGATGGTGGCGCCACGCGGCGGGTACGCCACCGGCCACTCGCTAGCCGCGCTGATGTTGACACTTGCTTGAGGCATCGGCAGCTGGCCTGCCCGCAGCGGCATAACTCGGACCACAACCTCGCGCCACTCACTCCCGACCTGCAGCACCTGGCTTGTCTTGCCGGCCACTAACCACGCCGAGCTGTCGACCGCCAGCGTCAGCCGCAGCTCGACACTCTCCAGCTTGCCGTCGATCCGCCGCAGCCGCGTCCGCGCTGTTGTAAAGACGTTGGCCACCAGGCCACGCTCGAGCACAAACTCGACTTCCAGCCGCGGAACAGCAAGAACAAGCGGGACGCGCTCGCGCCACACTCCGACGCCGCCGACGCCGACCACAACGTCCGCCACCGTCTCCACGCTCTTCTCACCCACTAGCTGCACGTCAAACAGCGCACCGACCGTCCGTCCGCGTCCGAGCAGCGCCGACCGCGACCCACACCGCGATGCGCGGTTCACGCTCACCGATCCCACGTTTGCCGTCAGATCAATGTCGGCCACGTCGATGTCGTGTGGGGCGATGTTCGTCAGCTTGAGCTGGGCATACCACCGCCCGTCCTCGCGGCCCGGCAGAAGCGAGAGGCTCGGCGCCAGCAGCGGCGCCACGTCAACCACCATCGAGCTTGCCGCCGCGTATGCGGCGCACTGCACCTCGACGCCGACAACCACAGTGCCGACGTCGATGCCCATCACAGGCACCCGAACCTCCCAGCTGTGTTCGGTCAACACACGGCTCAGCACCCACTCGACAACCACATCCTCGCACTGGCGGAGCTGGGCATGCTCGCTGCCGCTCAGCGCTGGCTCGCGGCCCGAGTCGATGACAAGAACCGGACCGGCGCCTGCAGGCCTATGTGGAGCAATCTCGATCCGGATGGTCACCTCTGCGAGCGTCCGCGGATCGACGAGCGTGACAGGTGTCGGTGCAATGGCCAATACAAGCTCCGATGCTGTGTCGCGATGCGCCGGCGCGCCGTGCTCAAGCACCACTGTCCACGGCGCCTCGCGCGCTGCCACATGAACAAGCGCCTGCTCGGGCACAAGCGGGACAAGAACCAGGGCGTCGGCAACGGTCGCTTCGATCCGGGCCACGGCCCACGGTCCGAGACTCGGGAAGCCATCGGCGCCGGCAAAGAAAAAGCGGTCGTTGCTCGTGGCACCAGGCTCGGGCGTGAGCGTCAGCTCGAAAACCTCCCCATTTTCGCAACCGCGCCCATTGTCGTCGCCTAGCACCGGGACCAGCTGCAGGACGAGACTCACGACTGGGAGTGGCGCTGCCAGCGCCGAGTCGAACGAGAGCTCGAGCTCAAACGGTGCACCGAGAGGTAGCTCGGAGAGATTTGCGCCGCGGGCAACCTGGAGCGCGGCACCGGCCAGACTGAGGCGGGCGCCGAGGACTGCGCTGGCGTCGAGCGACAGCGCGGCGTGGGGTGCGAGCGCCACCAGTTCGGACGCAAGCGAATTTGCGAGCGAGGCTGACGGGAGCGTCACATCGCGCGCCGAAAGCACTCGGATGAGGGTGGTGGCATGGGCGGTGACTAGCTCTGGAGGCGGGGCTGAGCCGGCAGCTGCCACGCCTGCCAGGGCCGCCCGCTGCGTCGCCGCTAGCTGCAGCATGGCCATGCCGTAGAGCGACGGCCAGCGCTCGTGGTGGTAGATGTCGCAAATGCCGGCGAGGAGGCCAGCGGCCGCGGCGTAGTCGCCGCGGACCAGCGCTACGTAGCCAAGCTCGGCGCGGAAGAGTGCAGCCGTCCGGCTCCGCCCAGCATCGTCATGGACCGCAACGAGATGAGCGAGGAGAATGTTGTACGCCACGTAAAAGGCGTCGCGCAGCTCGAGCGCCGAGAGCGACGCGACCTCGTAGAGGGCGGTCGGCTCGGTCTGCGTGAGGCCCGAAGTCTCAAACTGGCGCGGGAGCGTCCAGACCTGAGCTGAATCTGCGGGCGCCGAGCGAAGCGCAGCTTCAAACGAGGTGTACGGCAGGGCACCGATGGCGGCACCAAAGGCGCCGAGGTGGGCCGCAGCGTACGAAACCAGCCGCACTGCAATGAGCCGGTGCTCGAGCGGCTGCGGTGCGTCAGGCTCATCGGCGAGCCCGGCTGCTGCTTCCAGGATCGGTAAAAGACCCAGAGCGGCAAGTGCCTGCCAGGCCTCGACAAGGGCGAGCGGGCTGAGAAACGGCGCGTCCGGTGAAGCCGGCAGCGGGACGCCGCGGAGAATCCACGACGACGCCGGAAGCGAACGGACTTGCGGAACGACGCCGGAGAGAAACGCAAGCGCCACATCGGCCATTTGGTCGGTGTAGCCGAGGGAAGCAAGGAGCGCGACACGGCGTCCGGTGACATAGACATGAAACTCGAGGAGTGAGATCTTGGACTCGAACATGAGGCCGCGGTAGGGGAGCGCCGAAAGGGTAAACAGCTGGGCAGCAAGGTCAAAGTCGACAGTGCCAAAGGTGTCCAGAACGCCCGGAGTGTGCGGGACCTCACCGGAGCGATGCATGCCACTGAGATGCTCGTAAATCTCCAGCGCCTTGATGTGAAGCGAGGCCTGCTCGTAGAGGAGCGCGAGGCCCTCTTTGACCACAAAAAACCGACAGTAGTTCCAACCGGGCCCGATGGACGCGGTGATGTGGCTGATCTCGGCGCGAAAGGCGAGAATGCGGGCGTTGAAGCCGGCCATGAGGCCGGCGGCGAGCTCGGTGGTGAGCTCCTCGTACTTGCGGGCATTAGGCGGCGAAGCGAGCGGCGACGGGCGCGAACCTTGCGGAGCACCGCGAGCCCGGTCGAGCCACTCACGCTCATGGGCATCGAGCACGAGCTGGACCAGCCGAGGCCCGCCAGAGGTCTTCGGCACGAATGGTGCGAGGTCCGACTTGATCTTGGAGGTGAGTGACTTTTGAACCGCGACTCCTTGGCCTTGGACGGCGCGCCGGTGACGTGCAGGACGAGCCAGTGGGCCGGAACTGGGAGCGCTGCGACGCGGGTGAGCCACGACTTGAGCTCTTGCCGGTGGTCGCGCTTGTACGTATCAGCCGTCTCACAGGTCAGCACAAAGATGCGGAGGACCGGGAGGAGGTGCCAGTACTGCGAGAGCGAGTTGCGCCCACCGTCGAGGTCGGGCGTCTCGCGCGAGAGCGTCACCGACACGGAGCCGATGTACATGCCCGACTTGTTGTCGATGGAGGTGCAGATGACGTTGCGGAACGGCATGTGCGCCTCGAGTCGCGGCGCAATGACCGCCATTGCTCCGCCTGGGTCGGCGTACACCATGCCCAGCGCATGAGTGTCAGTCGACGTCAGGTACCCGCCCGACGCCATCGCCGTCGGCGTCAGAATCGGCGATGCCCCAGCCGGGTATCCCGCCCGCAGCTCGGGCGAGGACTTGATCGATGGCTTGTCGCCATTGCTAGCCTTGGACTTGGGCTTGGACTTGGACTTGGCCTTGGGCTTGGACTTGGACTTGGCTTTGGACTTGTGTTTTGCGGGCGAGTTGTTGGTGTCGGCAGGCGCCGTGTCGGGCTTGGGTTCGGCTTTGTGCTCGGCTTCTTGCTCGGGTTCGGGTTTGGGTTCGGCTTCGTGCCCGGCTTCGTGCTCGGGTTCGGGTTTGGGTTCGGCTTCGTGCTCGGGTTCAGGCTCGGGTTCGACAAGAGCACCTAGGTCTGCGTCTGCTCCATTGTCCATGTTGACTCTCACGCTCTCGTCCAGAGCGCCTGCTTCTGGAGGCGAGGGCGAGTCGGCAGCAGGCGCAGCAGCGGCAGGGGAGGGGGAGGGGGTAGTGGAAGTGGACTCCTCCATGCGCGTGTGTGTGTGTGTGTGTGTGTGTGTGAGTGTGGTGGTGGTCTCAGACAAGAATTGT